AAGCTTTCCAAAGTCAGCTTAAACCTTTTTTTGGCTCCCATGATCCTATTAATCCACTAGCGACAGTACATTTATGCCGAAAATAATAATTTCCATGTAGGCAATGTTTACTTTTCTGGGTGTCTCATAAGTGGAACACCTGTCGTAAGTTAAGGAATAATACTTAACTTATCTAGAATCATAGCAAAGGGGGAAGAAGCATCACCCTGCACTTGAATTTTTATCTTTTTTGGGAACCCTAATTAGGCCTATTGATCCACTGCTATTTGATAATCACACTGTCTCTTCTAGTTTTGTTTTGTGAATTTGATTTGCATATTGTTGGCTCCACAAGTGGCAAACCACAAAGGTGACAATTATTATGCCTACATAACCTCCCCAGATTTTCTCTTTCCTCAAGTTTTGGGGATTATTTTTCTGACACAATTGTTATCAATGTTCCTATTATCACTGATATTATGATTATTATAATGTAATTACTAATACTAACAGTAATAAAAGATAAAAAGAAAAACCTTTCAAAAAATCGAAGAAAAGAGTAAATAGGTGAGATAAGTAGGACTATTAATTGACTTTCTGTTAAGCCTTCTACCTCTTACGATAATCAATAAAGAAACAAACAATAATAGCTAGGAAAAATAAAATAAAAATGGACAAGGCATATATTCCAATCATCCTGCCATCAATGGGTTCATCCTGACACAATGACAAGTGGATCCTGATTACTTCCCTGAGCCAACAGGTTAATTTATGCCTATTTTCTTTCCTTGTTCCATAACTCTTCTACTGGGTCAGTGCAATTTGGCAGAATTCATGTTATACAATTACAACAATATCTCTATGCATTAAAAGGCAAATCTACTTCAAGTTCTATCAAATAATGAAATTTGTATCCTAAGACTTTAGACATAAGGGAACATGAATATCAATGGACAAGGTTACTTCACTTTTAAATTGATATTCTTACTAAAATCTGCAGCTACGATCAGCTGGAACTGTGAAGGTCTATGATGAACCTATGGTAATACATGTATACTATCTCTTTCTGCTGTAGACATGTAGCGTCAGTATCTACAGTGGTTTCCATTATTTATATAAAAACTATATGTTGTAAAACTGGGGACAAGACAGGTTAATTTCCTCATTCAGCATCTTCATATGTACCATTTGCTTATTTCAAAAAGGCTTCCCAGTACTAAAAGGATATACAAGTTTCATGACAAGTGTATGGCAGCCATCCTAACCCTATCTAGCAATTGTAATACTGTGAATAAAACTTAATTTTGCATTTTTTACTTTAATAATCTTGAAGTAAGCGTTTAAGGCTCTTCATCTACAAAATCATATTTTCATTACACGCGAAAGTTCACTTCTATCTTTGCTAGATTTACACTAAAAGCTCGAAAATCTGGGTATGTTCACGTGGAAATTGATTAAAATACATGATAACACGCCAAAATCGGAAAAAGTAAAACCATGACAAAGAAAAATTAAAAAGGGAAAAACGGAAAAAAATTTTCCTCTTACGTTGAAGGTTCCTCGATCTTCCAAGAGACTCGGGTCCAGGTTGATATCTTCGGCTTTTATCGTGTTCAAAATGTTATACAGCTGTTCATACTGGCTCATGAAATTACTAGAAGATGTCTGTGGCTCTCGCCTGAAGGTTCGCACGGCGAGAGCACCTATCTGTCTTATTAGGGAGGTCATTACGGGGGGAAAAGGGGGAAAGGAGGTACACATCCCTTCAAGAAAATCCCGAGACAATAACAAACTACAGCGTTTGATGATGTCGCAAAAAACAAAAATATTTAGAACGATTAATTTACAACAAATGCTGTTTTGAAATAAATAGTTCAATGAGCCATGTTTTTTTTCATTTCAGATCAAGGAGAAAAAAATCCCATTTGATGTCGGTTCCGGTTTAGTTAACTTTTTACAATATTCGAACGTCAAATCAGCTGTTCCCGATAAGGATTGCCATAATAGGGTGAATTTATAGTAAATAATTTATCTAGATACATTTCACACCTTTTAGGAAGAAGCATTTACGGAATTTTTGTTTAGAAAAATATATTTTTCCATAATGTAGGAAAACGTCAAATTACACCATGATAAAAGAGCAGTTAAAATAACAGTGAAATTTCTATAAAAGCAAGCTTGGTTTTTGCTTATTTAATTTTATTTGAAGTAGTAATCAAAGGATATATTCTATTTATACATGAATGTAATTACAGTAACCACAAAAGACCCCAAGCATAATGATTTAATGTTGTGAAAATATATAACTTTACTGGTAGGCTACGTGACAGTTCGAGTGTAGCTCCTGACCTTAGGATATATTAAAACACGTTTCAGTGCAACAAGAGATGTTCTGCTTTTACACTTTGTTTTTAGAAATTGGTGGTCAAAAAAGAGAAATATGTCATTTCATGGCGCATACTTTGTTCATAACGGCTTTTCTTTTAAATACATGCATATAATTGTTGCATTATTGATCTACCCAGTCTCTCTCTCTCTCTCTCTCTCTCTCTCTCTCTCATCTCGGTTTCATGTGCTTGCTCCCGAACCATATGACCTTTTCGAGAGCGGGTGCGTTCGCCGGATGGCATGAATGAGTCAGTAAATTTAGAGCAGCAGTTACTAATGTCTGAGCATTCATTGATATTTATGATGTCCCCCAACCCGCGAAGAAATGCTCCATGTCTCTGTCAAATACGTTATATGATGAATATACATCGTATAGGATATATATTATATTTAGAAATGCCGTTTCCACGTTTGCCATTTGCAAAGTGGTGAACTCGAAGGCATCGCATGCAGTGTGCACGATGCTAGTGATGGCAAGCGCCAGGCTCCACTGCTGCGCCATCTGTCAGCGTGCTTTGGTACGTGCGCGCGGGCGCTCTCTCGGCTGGGGAAAGGAAACACTATGTGATAATGAACAACGAACATGAATACATCCTTATTTAAATCCATATATATCCATATAAATTTATATATATTTGCATGAGTGTGTCTATATAAATGTTGCATATGTATGTATATTATATATATATATATATATATATATATATATATATATATATATATATATATATATATATATATATATATATATATATAATTACACACACACACACCACACACACACACCCACACACACACACGTATTATATATATATATATATATATATATATATATTATATATATATATATATATATATTATATATACATATATTTATATATATGTATATATATAATATATATATTATACACACACACACACAACACACACACACACACACCAATCACTTTGTCTCTCCAACCGTCTCTCTCTCCTCTCCCTCTCTCTCACTCAATGATTCGTCCGCGTCTTCCGTGAAACGATGAACAGAATAGCTCCCTCACAGGATGCACACCTACATGTTCTAGCATAAATCCACCTGGAAATAAGGAGGTAACATGAGCTTCCAAATAATTGAGATAACAAACACATTTCATTTCATGCATGCGAGACCTTCAAGACTGCAATGGCGGCCTGCCAGGGATTTGGCCCGTGTTTTGATTTCAAAAGAGTCTGCCTCAGGGACAGAGGCGATTGGAAATAGAGAGAGAGAGAGAGAGAGAGAGAGAGAGAGAGAGAGAGAGAGAGAGAGAGAGAGAGAGAAGAGAGAGAGAGAGAGAGAGAGAGAGAGAGAGAGAGAGAGAGAGAGAGAGAGAGAGAGAGAGAGAGAGAGAGAGAGAGAGAGAGAGAGAGAGTGTGTGTGTTGTGTGTGTGTGTGTGTGTGTGTGTGTGTGTGTGTGTGTGTGTGTGTGTGTGTGTGTGTGAGAGAGGAGAGATAGAGAGAGAGAGAGGAGTGTGTGCATGTGTGTGTGTGTGAGAGTGAGAGAGAGAGAGAGAAGAGAGAGAGAGAGAGAGAGAGAGAGAGAGAGAGAGAGAGAGAGAGAGAGAGAGAGAGAGAGGAGAAGAGAGAGAGAGAGAGAAAGGGAAGGAGAGAGATAGAGAGGGAGAGAAGAGAAACGCAAACACAGAGAGAGAGAGAGAGTGTGTGTAGATGGATAGATGGACGGATGGATAGATAGGCAGATAGACTGATAGATAATCAAATAAAGAACGAGGTGGGAGGATGAAGAGACAGAATGACAAATAGATATACACATTGCTAAAGAGATAGGAAAAGTCATAGGCACATAGCGTGATAGGTAAATAGACAGACAGATTGGTAGATGGGTACAAAGACTGACAAATATATTGAAGGATATATTGACAGGCAATGTATACATACATAAATACACACACTTAGGGGATGTAAATATATAGGTATGGATAAAATCTATCTTTCATCACACACACACACACACACACACACACACACACACACATATATATATATATATATATATATATATATATATATATATATATTCTCATACTACCGATTAATCCTTGCACATGGGAGGATCGGCCCATATCAAAGGCCCCATCAACTGGACATCACATGAGCTAGTTGGAAACTCCGAAGAACATCAAGTATAAACATAATTTTATCAATGGAATCAGACAGCCATCTCATACACTGGCGGCAGCGGTGGGATACAACCTCACGCTCACATAAGATACATGTTTTACTCGCTACTTGACAAGAACTCATAATTATCCAAAAAGTATTTAAATTTCTTACGATATGCTACCATTATTAATTTTTTCCATCTATCATCAGCCAAAAGTTAAGTTGCTGAAGTTTATTATTTTAGGCATACCTGTCTCATTCCCTCTATTTTTCCTTCTCCCTTCCCATGTGAAACATTAACTTTTCTCTGTATTTACTAGTATTTTTATTGGGACATATTTTTCACTTGGTAACGACCGATAATATTTTTAATATTACCTGTACTGAAATATGCAGTTTGCAAGCTAGATAAACAGACTGTAGGTTAAAAGTCCAAAAAATGAACACAAGAGTTAATGGCAGTTTGTTGCTAGGTGAAAATTATTTAACACTCAGAATTTCTGAAATAAGTACGTGGTGCGTTTTTTCCCTCAGAGAAGAGAGACTACGGTATTTTGTTTGCTTTTTAAGGGGGGGGGGGGGGGGGCAAGCTTTTATCGAAATGAAACGATTACGCATATGGCAGGAAATAAAACTTTTAAACGCGGTCTTGGCAAGGCCTTATATCAGTGAAAAAGCAACACAGGATGTTATGAATGTAGCTGCAAGGTTATGAGTTTACTTTAATCCCGTAATGTCTACTCCCGCAGTTTTTCAGGAACAGGATTGCTTTTTCTAAAATGCTCAGATGTCCAAGAAATTGTGTCCATTTCTGGAAGTTGAGTTGGTTTAAACAATACTCAGTCTATCATATTATGGCGAAAACGAAAAATCGATTTTTTTTGACTGAAGGTTACATCAACCTTAAGCAGTCATGTTTTAAGGGAAAATAGTGTATTTCATGTGGAACTTGTAATGTAACAACTGATAATAGCTTATTTCTTTTTAAATATTTACGTTTATTTAATGTTTTTTTTTAAGCGTCTTTGAAAACTTTGGAAATCCCGAACAAATCTGTTTGGAAATCCGGAAATCCTGGTAATTTTGGGTGTGGATATCGGAAATCACTTATGCTATTTTAAATAATGAAATGCCCCTTGAACTGCATAACAAATTTACCTTAAGGAACGGAAGAGCTCGTACTCACCAGAACAAACTTTTATCTTTAACTTGAACAATAACAACACGCGGCGCCGGACCTTCTAAAGGAAAGGAATTGCACCTACGCCCGCCAACACGACGCGTTACACTCGGTTAACCGAATTTCCATGATTATTTTCGAACTTTTGCAATGTTTTCACCTAGTTTGATAAACTTTCCCCTTTGAACCGAAATATCCCAAATTTTCGTGTTCAAAATGTGGATTGGTTGCTAATCAAAACAACATCATCGAATCAAAACGGATTTTTCTCGACCTGTAGAATACTTTGGACCGACTGAAAAAAAAAAAAAAAAAAAAAAAATGGGGGACGTCACACCCCACCTATTGTTCTCCCCTGACGATGGCTCATTGCAGAACTCCCGGTAAGACAAAATTCCGAGTTTGCAAGCAGAAATAGAGAGCGCCAATTAAATCACTTACTTTCATTATCTATCATAGGATTACCAGTCAAGAATTTTGTCTTTAAATATAGTGTTGATATGTGTCAGAATATAGCAAAATACTCATCACTCCACAAGTTTTATATCTTGCTATTCATGATATTCTTAATCATAATATATTGCAGACCAGTGGCTATGTATTGATTGCTTATTCATAATCTTTTGGCTATATATTTGGCTACTCACTTATAACCCCATTTCATTATGATGTAATATTATATGGATTTACTCTCCTTTGTTAATTCATAATCCCATTCTTATTATCATTTTGACTGACTCTTTTCTGAATTAATGATATTTTTTTTTCGCATGTAATATTCACGACTACTTCGACAGATGTTGCAGCCAAATCATACACCCACGCTAACCTTACTCATGCATGGGTTGACTGCGGTACTGCAATTGCATCGGTGTATTGCAACGGGAAATAAAGTATATATAGATTATATATAGATTCCCATACTACCGATTAATTCTCGCCCGAGCTAGTTGGTAACTTTAAAGAATATTAAATATAAACCGTATATAAATATCTTGCAAGTAGAATCAGAATTGGTTCTGCCAAACTTCGAGTGGCTTACCTCTGTGCCACTCGGTTAGGCCTAGTAACTGTTAACATATCTATACTCTAATGTCTTCCTATAGCTTGTGACTGATATATATCTAGTGTATTCCCTTATTGATTTTATATCAATGTACGTTGTCTATTATCGTGAATCGTACAATATAAGATTTATTTACTAGTTGCCTGGACTTACCCTATATGGACAGATATTGTGTGTCCTCTCTTTTTACACATATATGTGTGTGTGTACATACATATAATACATATATAATATATATAATATATATATATATATATATATATATATATATATATATATATTATACATATATGTATATATACATATAAGTGACTTATGTTAGTCACACAGGGGAACTGCGATGTCATAGTAAAATGCCATTATTCATTTTATAGCATCGGGAAAAAGTGTAATTTTCATATCCCGTTTCTTCATCATTCGTTAACCTGTCTATCTTTAGCTTAATTCATCATTTCTTTGGAATATTGTTGGATAATTGATGATTTTTTTTTTTTTGACATATTGAAGCACTACTTGTGTTTTGATAATGATGTAGTTATCAATGTAAATCACATATATCAACCCAAAATAGAAAGTAATCTTCTTTGTGGCAGATGATTGTGTAATCACAGACCTATTTATTTTTCAACGGGTGATACTTTATTTAACTATCCCTTAACATTTTTCTTTGATAAAGACATCACAGAAAACGAGAATGAATTTTCAGTAGAGCATGGGTGACTGATGCAGACTTTGGACAACAACACAAACGATATTTATTAATTCAAGCAAAAAAGTAATTTTACTATATTCGCCGTTAAACTCGTTTTATTACACACTGTCGGCTTCATATTCCTTTCGGATTTGAAAAGACATTTCAAAGCAAGGTGCTTGCTGTTATGTCATCAAGATTTATTTGTATAAAAATATTTAGGAAAAAGAGGTTCGACATAACCATGCTTGCTAATGATATTAAGGACGAGAATGAGTAGTTGCAAAAATAATCAAATATTTCAATATGGCTTTACAAATTAGAGTATATGGCTTGGCTGTCGAAATCCTTAATTGATTCAGATTTAGCATATGTCTTATAAACAAGAAAGCAGATTAAGAAAAAAAATGCACGTTGATCACAAACTATAAATCATTTTATGATCATCTACTAAACATTTATTGCCCATTCTCCATAAGAGTCAATGTATGGGCATAGTTTGGTATTGATAATTGGGTACTTTCTCTTTTCTTGGACGTCTCTCTGTCCCTCAAATGCTCTCTTTGCCCCCCCCCCCCCCCCCCCTCTCTCTCTCTCTCTCTCTCTTTCTCTTGGTCTTCCCAAGAAACATCCATCTATATAGCTTACGATAAACTAGTAACTTCACACTGAACTACGCAGAGACACACTCAAACACTGAAGAGGTGCCGGAAAAGAAGAGAAAAAGAAAGTTTCTAGTAATGATTACAGAAAAAAATGGTGCATTTCGCAATTCATTATTCGAAAATGTGACAGAGGATATTCAAGACGGTTTGATAAGTAAACATCTGCCATCGATGCGGGATAGGTTAGAATTTAATGCACGAGTCCTGTATTTTGTGCTTTCTAGCTTATTGAAGATGCTGATCTTATTGACAATAACGATGATAATGATACAAATGAAGATGACGAAAATAAACTTGTTTGCCAATGCGGTAAAATACTGGATTTTGAGGGAACTATGGTGGTATTTTGTTCGATCTCTGTCACACTTTCCTTTGCTCAAAAAAAAGTTTAAATGGAAAGCTGACACAACTTTAACATTACAAATTCCTATTACAAGTAAATTAAATCAATCTGTTATACTGAAACAATATCATAAAATCGATATCGTTTTATTGGCTTGCATTCAAATTTCCCGCCAACATTCCAGAAAAGCGACGAACTAGTAACGAGAGCAGATATGAAGGAGGAAAGACAAAGTATGAATATGTAAGACTGTAGATCACGTGTGTTAAACAATGTCTTTTCCCCAAGAGACAACATCGGTATTCGTTACTTAAAACGGTCTTTGTAGTTATTATTACTGCTAATGAATCAATTAACAATAACAAAATCTCCGGTAATGAACAGCATCAGTGACCGATTATTCAAAAATTAAGGGATGGAATATGATGTCGAGTAGCCTCTACATTGCAACTTCTTCAGGTTTATTACATGTAGCTCTCTAGCTGATTTATATTAATGTTTTAATCAACCATATTACTCTTATTAATTTTCCATTATTCGTGGGGTTATTGTTATTGTTATTAGTATGATCCTTCATATTCATCGTCGCTTGACTATCATATTCTGTTGTTGGTTCTGCTTCCATTTGTACCATTTCTTTTAATATAGTCTCTTATCTCTCTCTCTCATCTCTCTCTCTCTCTCTCTCTCTCTCTCTCTCTCTCTCTCTCTCTCTCTCTCTCTCTCTCTCTCTCTCTCTCTCTCTCACACACACACACACACACACACACAAACACACACACAAGCACACAGGCACACTCGAAAGAGATAAAAGTAAGTAAATTCAAATAGCGTTTGCATCAGAAAAAAAGAAAAAAGTCCTGTTCTGGTTGATGAAGATGATAACATTTTCAAGATAACTTTAAAAGTAAAAGACTAATTTGTCCTCTCTGTAACCTGAAATTCACAGTTCCCGACAGACAGGAATTAAATTGGGGGAAAGCTGAATTTTCGAGAATGAAGTATTGGGAGGGAGAAGAAAGGGTAATGGTAAATAGACTATCAAAAATCACCTAAAATGGTCGCAGTATAGCAACAGACCCTTCCTTTCTCTGTCCTGTGATCCGTAGACAGCTTCGCCGACGTCAGATCAGCTGGGCAGACTTAGCTGGCTGCCTCGGGATCCCAGGACAGAGGGGACTCGTGTGATCTTTGCTTTGGGTTTATTTCATTTTCCGCTCAGGTTGATCAATAAGATACAAATGTTTGCCCTTTGCCCCTTCACGGAACTCTTATCACCACTATTAAGGTTACCACAAATATGGTATTTTCATCTTCATTTTGCTCTGTCCTTATTACTATTTTCATGTTTTATTGTCGCTATACTTCTTATCTCTCTCTTTCTTTCTTTCTTAGAATATTCTCTTGTAAACAAAATTTACAATAACACACATATTCGGATGATAAGGCGTCTGCAAAACCCTAATCCTTTGATACGTCTTCAAACATATTATTGGAACCTGTTCAAACATCCTTTCGTAGAACAATATCGTAACGAGATTA